CTTTTTTTGTAACCCATGATAGAGTTTTTTGTAATCCATGATTGAATTTTTTGTAATCCATGATCGAATTGTTTTTTCTTTTTTTGTAATCCACGATTGAATTTTTTGTTTTTTTTGTTTGTTTTTTTTTGTAATCCATGATCGAATTTTATGTAATCCATGATCGAATTTTTTGTAATCCATGATTGAATTTTTTGAAAATTTGTGATTGTTTTTTTTTAATCCATGATCGAATTTGTTTTTGTAATCCATGATAGAATTTTTTGAAAATTTGTTTTTTTTTTTTTAATCCATGATCGAATTTTTTTTTAATCCATGATAAATTTTTTTGAAAATTTGTGATTTTTTTTTTTTAATCCATGATCGATTTTTTTGAAAATTTGTTTTTTTTTTTTAATCCATATTATTCAAAGAGAAAATGAGAGAGATGATGATTTTGAGGCCACCTTATCCCAGCCATATTATTCACATATCGAGTCCCAACAGCAACAGTGTAGGGATGAGCACGACAGTGCAGGTGAGTATGAAGGATGGACAATCTTTGGGGATTTTAAATTGAGAACACAACGAAACACTAACACTCAGGGATTTGGGAATAGTCAGACGCCTGCTAATATCGATGATTCGTTTTTAGATCGAATCAATGAATTGTTAAACAAATTCAATCAATGGCACCAGCGTGACCAAGAAAAACAATAACGTCGTCTATCATTTTATTTTTAGATCATATGTTACTAATTTTATGCTTTATTGTAGTCCATGTATGTTGATATACTTATTCCATGATAATTATATGTTTATCCTTTTGTGTGATGTAAATTAAATGATGAATGGCAGTTCATGCAGGGAAAAACATATCAATATTCGCATATTCATTCAAAAACATGAAAATTCTTAATGGAGTACCCTCATTTCTTATTGAAAATGAATTTTAATAATTTTTTCGGATTTTTTTTAAGCTTTATTCTGACCGATTCACCCGATTCCCAATCCGGATCGGCGATTCGCCGATCCGGATCGATTTTTTAGAAGCCCGATCTTGGTCACCGATCCATTTTTTAAACCATTGCTCTAAACAATTAAATTTGAGCCTACCTCAAAAATTTCACTAGAAGAGATTGTTTTGATATTCCAATATCTTCAAACTGATCATCTCGATATCAAGATGCATGGACATGAGAAAAAAAATGGATTTCAAATTTTTGAAATAGTGCGTCTTGTAACGCATTTTCATACCGTCAATTTTCAAGATTTTCATAGCTCTGCTCGATGTACATTGTTTTTTGAACTTTAAATTTTATAATTGAAGATGAAAATATATTATAAGGTTATCACAAAAATTTTCAATACTGAAACTACATTTCTCAATACTATTTGAAGGTGCCCTCTACTTCGATTGTTTAAAGCCTGGCTCTATTCAGACGACACCCATATGTAGTGCCTAGGAGAGTGACGGAGACTTGTATCATGAGTGTGCAGCAAAGAGAGAGAAAGGTCTGCGCCGCGCCCCTTTTTTGGGTTGCATTGGCGGTGGGCTCGCGAAGTCCCCTTCGAATCAAATGGGAGCCTTTTATGATCTCAAATGCAGTAGCATTCGGGACAATTAGAGGGAAAATGAGTTAAATGTGCTGTGTTTGTCTAATGTTTTTTTAAGTCTCCTCCAAATCCCTATCTTACAAACTCTTATTTTAATTTTAATTCTTGATTTTATTTATTTTAATACTTGTAGATCACCTATTCCGAGTGATCTACACTCATCTAGATGGATCACCAATCCAATTATCTGACACCAATCTATGGGTCCCACCGATTTGGGTTTTAAAACACTCATATTTACGTTCTTATTCAATTTAAGGTTATTTATTTATCTCCCATATAAACCTTATTTTTTATTTTTTATTCATTGCTTTAAATTATTTGGAAAACAAGTTTGCATTAAAATGTAAAAATGCATAGGGTCAAAGAAGTTTTCTCTAGGTTTTTTTTTATTTTGACAATTTTACAATTTCTTTAAGTTTCACTGAGGGCATGACCATTAATAGAGCATAATGGCGAATCAGGATTCGTGTAGTCGATCCCAATTAGTTAGCAAAAAAGCTTTGACGATAATGATGATAAATTATAAAATTCTTCAATAATAATGGAGGTTGCTTAGATCTATAAACACTCAATATTTTTAAATTTTTTTTATTAAATTACCTGTAAAAGATGAATAATTTAATGCCTTACATATATCTTTTGATTTAATTACAAAATATCTATATAAAAATACATAATTTTGAGTTAGGTAAAATGTTAAATAATTCATATCCTGTGTGAGTATTTTTATAAATTCCTCAAGTATCCCTTAACATAGGATAATGATCCAATGCAATGGTTGTATCATAGTATAATGCAACCACACTTTCAAAAAACTGTTTGTAGTAGTCGTATGACCCAAAACTTTACACACATACTCTCTTCATCTCAATAATTAAATTTTTTTTAAAAAAAAAACTAATTTGCACCCTATATATGGTTAAAAATTAGTCCCATCTGGCAATGAATCTAGATCGTTCATTTGATGAATTTCAAGATTTAGGCATTTATAAATTTAAAATCATTTTTTTTTATATTGTTAATCTAATGATAATAAAGTTATTTAAAAATTTTAGAAAGAAAAAAATCATTCTTGAACCTAGATCTAAGCATCTCATCAAAATGGATGGCCTATGTTAATTGGGCTAAAAAATACTTTCTAAATTGTTAATTTGATGATAATTTTGTTAATCTATTGATAATAAAGTTATCTAATAAATTTAAAAAGGAAAATATCATTCTAAATCCTAGATCTAAACATCTCATCAAAATGGACAGCCAATGTTAATTGGGCTAAAAAAAAAAACTTTTCATATTATTTTTTCAAAGTTTTCTTTTTTATGATCTTTCATTAAAATGAAAAAATATATATTATAAAATTTGGATCAAACAAATGTCTGTGTTTTTTAGTGTTATTGCGTTATATTACTATATAACCTACGCATGAAATCACTCCCCATAATTTCTCAAATATTTAACATAAATTATATAATATCACTCCCCAAAATTTCTCAAATATTTAACATAAATTATATAATATCGTTCCCATGTGCTAATTACCAACTTTGTCCCTATATATACAGTGTAAGGTGTGCGGTGTACACACCAATGTCTCGCTCATGCAGCCCCCTTCGACGCTTTCCCTCCAATTTGAACCCTAAATCTAGGAGTTGCAGAGAATCCAGTATACTCTCATTTTCACTCATTCATCTGCTTGAAAACCCTAACCCAAAATTTTGGAGCGTCCCATTGTTTGTTTTTCACCTTTTAGGTTATCAGAGAAGCCTAACCATTTAATTGCAGAGAAGCTCCGTATGCTAAAGGTTCCTATTCAAACTTTTGATGGAGAGAACCCTAACCACTGATTTTTCAGTGGAATTATGTTCTTCCCATTTCACTTCAAGGATTTTCAGTTGAGTATCCTAACATTGCAGTGAAATCCGTCTGCATTCTCAAGGTGGATTTCCGAAGTTAAATCAATGGTAACAGCCGCTACTTTGCCATTTAGTTTCTTAAAAAGCTGTTGTTTTTCTGCAACTTGCCATGACCATGTGATGAGCAACGCCATAAAGACATAAACTATGAGGCTTGCTTTTAGACCCACAAAAGCCACTGCTTCTCTAGGGGTTTTTTACACAGTGATAACTTTAACCCTGCAACTGTGGATAGTGGATGATATTTTTTTTTTCATCTACCTTTGAAGTTCTCTACTGAATCTTATTATTCTGAAACTCGTAATGACCAGTTGTTTCTACGCCATAAGACTAGTAGCTCATAAACTTTGCACCATGTTATTACGGCCCCAAAACCCAATATTTTTCTCTAATCTCTCTGGAAAAACCCTAACCCTAAACTTGCAGAAAAACCCATTTCTGAGAATTGCTTATTCTTCTCGAACTTCACCATCGGACACCAGCCCTTCGGTCTCTTCTCATTGTGGGATTAATCGAATCTCTCGAATAGCTCAAAGTGAAGCTCAAAATGCTCTCTTGGACTATCTAAACTCAACCAGGAGCTTATTATTCACTGATGCAGAGCACATGAGCAAGAACTCCCCCAATTTTCTCCAAAAGCTTATGTCGAAGGTTGAGAACGAGCAGGACATTGGGCGTTCCATAACCAGATTCTTAAGATACCACCCCATTAATGAATTTGAGCCATTCTTTGAAAGCTTGGGGCTAAAACCATCGGAATTCTGCCCTTTACTCCCTCGAGACCTTTTGTTCTTGAGTGATGATCATCTCTTGTTAGATAATTTTCATGTACTTTGCAACTATGGTTTTCCTCGAAGTAAAATAGGCAAGATGTACAAAGAAGAGAGAGAGATTTTTAGGCATGGAGATGGGGTCTTGCTCTCAAAGCTTAGAGCTTATGAGGTGCTGGGACTTAGTAGACCTGCTCTAATAAAGCTGGTGAACTCTTGCCCCTCTCTTCTTGTTGGGAGTGTTAATGAGAATTTTGTTGGGGTTCTTGAAAAATTGAAGAGTTTGGATATTGAGAAGGATTGGATTGTTGGTGTCTTCTCTCAAAAGAACTCATGCAATTGGAGTAGAATACTTGGCTTGTTCATTTTTTTGGAGAAAATGGGTTTTGGGAACAGAGAAATGGCAGACATTATCAAGATGCATCCAAAATTATTCTTTGAAGGATCAGGGCAGAAAATGTGTTTTTTGGTATCACTTTTGATGAAGGTAGTAGGTCTTCAAATAGATGAGATTAAAGGCTTGATTTTGCAGTACCCAAGTGTTCTTGCCCCAAATATCACCAGGAATTTTTGTCAGGGGATATGTCTTTTACGCACAGTCGAGTTAGAAATTGAGGAAATAGCTAGGCTTGTGCGTTCATACCCCCATATTTTGGGGTTGTGTTCCTTTAAGAGGTCTGAATTGGTGTTCCGTCGCTCAAAAGTTGGGAAAATGCGCTTAAGGTCGATGATATTAGAGGACCCTAATCTGTTAAGAAATTGGGTCGTGGGGAATAAGATCAGCCGAGTGCCAGTCACTGGCAAAGATGAAAAATCATCGCGTGAGAAGACCAAATTCTTGTTAAAATTGGGGTATGTCGAGAACTCAGATGAGATGACCAAAGCCCTGAAGAAGTTTAGAGGCAAAGGGGATGAATTACAAGAGAGGTTTGACTCTTTGGTAGAAGCTGGGCTTGATGTCCATGATGTCTCAAACATGATAAAGCTTTCTCCTGCTGTTTTGAACCAGTGTCGAGAAGTGCTAGTGAAGAAGATGGATTTTCTTGTAAATGATTTTGGTTATCCAAGACAATCTTTGGTAAAGTTTCCATCTTATCTTTGCTATGATATGGAGAGAGTCAAGGTTAGGTTCTTGATGTATAAGTGGCTTAAGGAGAAAGGGGTAGCCAGGCCCAATCTAGCTTTGGGTACCATTCTCGCATGTTCAGATGAGCGATTCTTAAAGCAATTTGTAAATCTCCATCCCGAAGGTCTGGCAGTTTGGGAAAAATTGAATAAATCATCTTCTTCAGGTTAAGGTTTGTCCGATGCACGTCAGTTATGTGTACTTGCACGCATGGCAAGCTATTAATGCTCTTGGTATCTTTGTTTGCAAAGCTGTGTGATATTCCTTGCGTACATTCTTCCATACTTTGTTTAAGACCTTGCGTAATTTCTTACTTTACAATCTTTGATATTTGCATTATTATGGGTCCAGAAAAATCTAGTCTACAAACCCATGATATCCCTCCTTTTAGGGATTCTCTCATGGGTTGAATGCAGTTTGATTTGATCAGACCAGACTGAAAAATTGCAGCACCCTGCATCAGACATCTTCTCCTGCTTCATAGCAGCTCTTTCCACCTTTTGCTTTTTGCATAAAAAGAAAACAGGGAAATCTTGTTGTGGAACTGAAAATTTTGTATTTTTGGCATGCAACAGCTTGTTATGATTGTATTTCCTCAAAGAAACTGCACAAAATGGTATAGAGATTGTTGAAATGATTTTCATCAGCTATACCTAATGTATGGGTAACAATTACCCCAAAATGCTACTTTTGGCAAAACCAATCCTCTGTTATCAATTAAATACATGGACAAAGAGAAACTTGAATGTGCAATCTGAGAGGAAAAACAAAAAGGAAACACGTAGAGAACAAAAAGCAATGAAGGGTGTAGATATGATGTAATACATCCCAGTCTGCTCAGAAGTCAGAAGAGCCACATTGGCCTTTCCTTTTATTACCATCGGAATCATAAACGTGATTGAGATTAAGTTGCTCATTAAAACTTAAAGGTTATGTCATTAAGAGGAGGGATGTAAAAAAGGAGCATTTGGTGCATTTCTTGCCATCATGATCATAAAAAAGACATTTTGAATATGATCTGGTACGCAGCTTCCGTCAATGCAATACCTCCACTTGATAAACTTAGCTGCTCTTCAAATCAGTCAAGGAGGATTAGGATCCTTGCATCACAGTCCACAGTCTTGTGATCCAGTCTTGAATGCGTGGAATTCAAATTGGATGCATGTTGGCTGACCCTGTATCAGCAAGATAGAGTGCATTTGCAGAAGGGCCGTCGTACACAATCTTGAGATCACTGAGCATATGCGGTATCATAATTTTCTTTGTACTGATCCTTGCGGAGTAGTAATTTCTCTTTGGATAAGTATACAATCAAACAAAGGTTCACCTGTGCACCCTATACATATAAATATTCTTAGTAACTTTGTGATTGCAGAAGTATATTATATAAGGAAAAAGTTTATATAAGGTTGCAACCTTAAAATGTTTGCATCTCAAAAATCCTTTGGAAAAGATTGTTTTAATGTTGAAAAACCTTCTAATTGATCATCTCGGCATTGAGATATAAAAATATGAAAAAAATAAGACCGAGTGCAAAAAATAGTGCATCTTGCAACACATTATCTAGACCGTCTATTTTCAAGATTTGCATATGCTTATAGATCTAGTTGATTTTAACTGATTTTGAAGTTTAAAATTATATAACTAAATATAAAAATAGATTTTGAGATAATCCCAAGAATATTTTGCACTAAAATTATATATTATAATAAAATTTCGAGGTGAACCTTAATTGGATTGTTTAAGGTTGCAATCTTATAGAAACCACACCCATTATATAATCCATAGGACCTTTTACAATGGGCGCACCATATTTTTCCTGCAATAACTCGCGACCCTCCCAAGCTGTCTTATGTGGAAAGTACGTGCTTCTGCTGTTTAAAGTCTGTTGAAGTTTATGTGCTTCAATTGGAGGAACGACACACCTGGTCCACATCTTGATAGTTCGAGAGGGTTTTAAATTGTTGTGGATTAACCTTATACTTCCCTTTAACTGAATGTGCCATGGATAGAACCATAAGCTATAGAATCATTATCCTTTTACCATGAAGGCTAGACGATAGTCCAATGCCACACTCTTGTTCATCATTTCAGTAGATTCTAATGATCCAGCTAGCTGATTTTCTCATTGCGTGGTGGAATTTAGAGTATCGTAGACAATGAAAGTGATAGTATCTCTCTCTGAAGATTGTATTTGATCATGTCTGCATGAGGATTTTCCCCTTTTTCACTGAAAATGCATATGGCTATTTGATGATTTTCCACATTATATTTGAGTTTAAATTTGGGGTTCTTTGGAGGTCAGTTCGTGGTTTGCAAATTGATTATTAAATGCCCTTTATGAAACATTATAACAGGGGGAAGTTGTAAGGTTGTGGTGGTGGTGGTAGTAGCGGCCGTGGTAGTGTGGTGAGGGCCGTTAGTTGTGAATCTGGTGATGGTGATGGCAGTGGTTAGGTCATGTTGGTTGGGCGGTGGGGGTGTGGTGTGGTGAGGGGACAATGACGATGTGGTGGTGGTAGTGTAGTGGTTGTCAGAGGCACTGACGGTAGTGCTCATGACATGGTGGTGGCAGCATACGTCGTTGTAGCTGTGTGGTGGTGGCCTTGGGGGCAATGAGGTGGTGGGGGTGTGGGACTGGCGGTTGAGGTGTCATTGCTGTGGCGGCACTGGAGTGCAGTAGTGACTGGTGGCGGCAGTCGAGGTGTCGTGGTGGTGGTGGTGGTGGTGGTGGTGGCGGTGGTTGGGGTGTGGTGTTCGGGTTGTGGGGATGAGGGGAAGGCAGTGGGGCGGTGGCTGTTGCATTTGGAGAGAAAGGTACGCACCACCTCTCTAGCTTGTAAGGCTTGTAGTAGAGAGAGAGAATAGATCAAAAAGAGAGAGAGAGAGAGAAGTTGTGGCACAGAGAAGGAAGTTATAGGATTAACCCTTATCCTCGCACAAGTGACTCCATAGGTAATCCACCTCCATTGTTTTTTTTAGAAAAATTTTATATAAAGTCAGACTTTAAAATTTAGAATTAGGATGCAGCACTAAAATCTTTCGAAAAATGTTGTTTTGATGTTAAAAAAACATCTAATTTGATCATCTCGAGATGTATAGATAAGGGAAAGAAAAAAGAGATTTTAGATCTTAAAAATAATACATCTTGCAACACATATTTCGGACTAAATTTCAAAGTGTTAAGAGATATGTTTGATTTGAACTATTTTTAGAGTCTAAAATTTTATAATTAGAGATAAAAATAGATTCTTACACCATCCTAGCAATTTTTCATACTAAAATTACATCCCATGACAAAGGTTAGAGGTGCAGCTTACTTTGATTGTTTGAGATTGCAACCTTGTACAAACCATACCCTTGGGTTTATGAGCATATAAAAACTAGCCCTAATTTGTTCAAATTCTTATAGGCCTTTAGTAAGAGGCCCACGGCCAAGTCCATTCTTCCAATAATATTTTGCTTTAATGCTTTCTGGATACTTAGAAGTGATGCTGCAAGTTTATTTCGTTCGATCTGGGATCCAATTCTCAGAGAAATGGACCTTCCTTCACAGTGGTAACAAGTTGAGTCCCATCAATCTCTCTCTCTCTCTCTAAAAGGTAACACACAAGCTCACCCAATTGGAGGCTAAGTTCTGAAAAACTTAAACAGAGGAAGCAACTAAATCAACACTTCTATGTGACGCTTCATTTCACTCTTTTTCAACTCCAACTCTTGATCATGAGTATTTCAATGGGTTTTTTTAGACTAAATCTACAGAAATGAGTAAAATGTTAAATAATTAATTTTTTTAAGTTCGTTTTGGTTCTCATCCCCGTAAGAAAGGTTTCAGAGCAAATATTTCCCTTCTCAAGTGGATAAAGAAAATAAACAGACGTGATTCTCGTGGGTCAACTGATGCACTTTCTCAAATGCAATCTTTCTCAAAAATCCATCTTAAAGATAGATTTTGAGCCTAATTTTACAGGTCAATAATCTCGATTTCCTCAATTATAAATATGAAAAAAGAACAAGAAAAAAAGAAGTTGAAACTCAAAAATAGATTGCTTTTTGGACTCTTCATCAATGCCATTTTAATTCTTCATCGTTCATTTGCTATTTTTTAAGTGCAAAGTAACATATCTAAAGCAAAAATGCATCTAGAATACGGGCATTGCTGTGGGGGGGAGGGGACCTCAGTTAAACTTTTCCCTACAAAATTTATCATTTTTATTTCCAAGTAAAAAAAAAAACTATCATTTCTATTTGAAAAAACAGATCCCAGCACATCTCCATTATTCCATATATAAAAAAAGATTGCGTTTTCAAAATAGAAAGCCACCAGGTTTTGAATTTCGTATTTCCACTTACAAATATTTCTCTTTCTTTCTAATCCTATTACATTTGCATATAAAGTAGAAAGCTACAAAGTTTTCAACATGGTACACGACCCAGCTTATGCAGCTTTCAAGAATAATCGAATCACATGACATCAGGGGAAAGAAGAAAAGATATCATGACTTCAAAAAAGTGAGGAGACATTTCTTATGTTTTTGTGTTGTTCCTGTTTATCATGGATTCCATCAGATCCCAACATCAATGTCCTGAAAAGGCTCCTGAGACTTCAAAGTGCGTCAATGAATTTCTGGATTTTTGCTTGCGCCTTTTCCTTCTCTTCAGGTCCATCCAGATCTCCAATATTGTCATGATATTCCTGCAAAAGAAGAAGATGAAGAAGAAGAAGATGACGAAGAAGAAGATGATCATGATATAGCACATGAGCTCAGAAAAGCAATCAAGGTTTCCCCAACTCGAAGAACAGCTCCTTTAAGTTCATACTTTGCACTGCCATTAACTGTTCCTCCTAGCTTTATGGTGACATTAAATTCAGGGATTTGTTTCTTACAAATCTGCACTTAGTTTAGCATCAAGAAATTTGATCAACGCATCTGAGAAGCAAGATCTCCTGATAAGGGAACTGATCCACTAGAAGCAAAGCAGATAAAAAACAATTGATATACAAATTTATACGATAAGCTATCGGATAACCATGCACGGGATACTCGTAGTATCCATTCCGTAAACTTAAGACATCTGACACAGAATGAATTGTTTCAGAGATTGTAACGACAGAAAAAGCTACTGATTCATTCAAATGCATCCAACTGATAACAGTACAAAAGCAAAGAGGTGAAGTTCACATACATGTGAACTTAGAACTGATACCTGAAGTATTTCCTTGACATTCTCCTTTGACAATCTCTGCTGCCTGAGTAGTAGCTCAATTCTTGATCTCATTCCAGAATGCCCGAATAGAAATAAAAAGAGAAAAAATATTTAATAATGATCTACAACAATTTTCTGAACTGAACATCAGATTTAATGTGCAATAGATCCCAAAGGGAACACAACTTCTAAAATTATCATCACTTACTCAGAACACCAAAGATGCCCAAGAATAACTGCTATCAACTGCAAGTCCAACAACCTCAGTGTCAATGATTATGAAAAGTTAAAGGGGGTCTAAAAAGGGTGTCAGGGATTAATGGGATCTTATTTTGTTAAATGATTAGATATACTGATATGGTAATTATCCAAACTGCAGTTGTAAAATAAACAAAGATCTAATAAAACAAACACAGAAAAAAGGTAATATATATATATATATATATACTTGTTTAAGGGTAATCTTACTTGAAGAGTATAAAGTCCAGACTCTAGCTTCCGATTGTAGCGCTCCTCTTCATCCATCTGTTTATGTTAACACTTAGACGATCAAGACACAAAGAAACTAGACGACCATAATATCAAAATAAAGTCTCAATGATTATGTTAAATAGGGCAGATAGAAGAAAACCTCTAAGTCCTCCAATTCAAGCTGGTTCAATCGCTCAGTCTCTGCTTTCACTCTGTCCAAGTATCTACAGCAGATCGAGAGTTTTATGAGACATTTTCATATTTGATTGGTTGTAACAAGATTCTCAAGACACCTATAGAGAATAGTTATATAGATATGTGATGAACCAAAAGATGATGCTTATAACCAGCAAAGCACAAACCAATTTATACTTCTACAGCATCCTCACCTCATGTATAGTTCCATTAGTCTATCGATCTTTTCACATTCATTTTCCACAAATTTGCTAAGAAGTCGTTCCCTTCTTGAACCCCGAAAAATACCACCTTCATAGGAAAAAGAAGATAACTAGCATGAGCTTAACAAGTGAATAAACAAGATTTTTAATGCATGCATTAGAATCCAATTTCAAAAGCACAATATTTATTACCTGCTCCTCTGTCCACGTACATCTTGCAAGCAAACTGGCAATGCTATGAAGTACAGAAGTAGTTTAAGAAAAACAAGTTTTCTATGTCTATTCCACAGAATATGAATAGCAGGTTTTCGACTCTGCTCGGCCATGGCACTTGGCCACCGAGCTGGTCAATTTACTCGGGAGATTCCCAGTCGACTCACCCGTGTCTGAAGCTGTACCTTACAATAGCCTCCAAAAAATGTGTAACAGAAATATGAAGAGTACTCCCCAAAGTACTCCCCAAAAAGGGACAAATTTTAAAATTGCTAAAAATGAAAAAAACGTATAAACAATGGAAAAAAAATGTAAAATATGAAGAATGAAACTAATATGATAATGATGGGCCCCACTCGCTAAAACTACTTGATAATCCAATTTAACATATCCAATTTAAATTTTTCTATTATTCTATCATTAAATCAAATGAGGCCTAAGACACTGCAAAAATTGAAGTGTAAACATCATCAAATGAAGACTTAAGAGTATAGATCATACACTGCTCTGCAATATGAGTTCATTTGTATACACCAATACAGACTCACAGGCTCAAAGTCCCACAGAGAGCACTACACTGCAAGGAATATAGGGACTCTACACTGAAGTACTTACCGCGAGTGTTGTAGATATGCATAATATAGGGACTCCACACACTAATACTTCCACGAGTGTTGTCGATATACATAAGGACCCTGGTGTCAAGGAAGAGGTCCCTTCCAAACATGTCTGTGATCCATAGAGCAGTCCCTTTGTTCATGGTTTGTCTGTGTGCAGCTCCCAACCCAAAGTCTCTATGGCTTATCCAGCCTTGCTTTGGCTCTGTTATCACCACCTTGACTCTGCCATCCACTAAGCTGGCTTTTTTGCCCACCATCTCGGCCCTCCTCTTTCTCCTCCCCCGTAGAGGCCCCACCATCTTGGCCCTCCACATCTCCTGCTCCTCTGGCTCCAGTTCTGTTGCCTCAATCCCCCCTTCTGTTGGGATGCCATCTGGGTCATCAGCTAATTCAGCTTCATGTATACTCTTGTTGATTGCTTGCTCTTCTCATTCTACCAGCCATTTATCTCCTAGATCCACCAAGAACATGTAGTCCAAGTTGATGGGATCGTAATCATTTTCTCCCTCCTCAACTGCCTCTTCCTCAAGCTCAGGTAGTAGTGCACATAAACTAGCTTGTGCAGCCTCTCAGTTTTCAGCCTCCTCCTTGCAGTATAGGTCCACTGCGATGTACTCCAGGAGGGTTGGATCTTGGGATCTACTCTAGGAATTCTCATTCACCACACTAGGTTAATCGCGAGAAAGAGGGAGTATTGACCTTGAGTCCAGATAGGTTCTACCTTGAACCCCCCTCTATGTGCACTGAGACCATAGAAGGATCCAAACAGCACATACTACAAGTTTCTCAGTCTAAAGTCTGAATTGTCTAAGGTGCTGCTGTTTTGCAAGTTGCAAAAAACAGGGACTTGAAGAAGCTGATTCTTGAAGACGACACATCCAATTGCAGTGAAATTTTGAACAATGGAAGGACCTCGAGTTTAGTTGATGTATACAAAATTTCAGCACAATTTTTTTTTCTAATTTGTGAGATATTAACATGTATGTGATTGCTGCCACTGCAACTTTCAGAAGTCATGTTCTCTATAACTCTAACCCAACATCTTCCTCTAGACCAACAGCTAAGCAACAAATAAAGTGATCCCAATTTGTGATTTCTAGTAAATGTGCAAAACAAGATAACGGGACATTCTTGTGCACCATGATTTTGTTGAAGGGGCTTGAAATTACATGATTGGCCTCTTGGAAACTAGTTTGGTGTAAGATGAGACTTATAAGGCGTAGCATTAGAGACAACAAATGTCTGACCTGTTATGAGCAGGCATTTCTTTGGGGATTGGGAAACAATCTTTTGCTAATGAGCAAAACCAAGGCAAGTACTGAGAATTATCTTTTGGCCTCTAGCAAGAGAGGCTGAAGGAGAGGTTGGGGAAAAATAGTCCTACAATGCAATCCCCTATTAAAGCACTAAGACAATATAGAGAATAAGAAATGTCTTCTAGAAAGAAAGTTGAAGACTTAAAGCTAAACTTTGATGGCAGAGGCACAACAATGATTCAAGCTAAACTTTCATAGGGCCTCTTGCAGTAATTGGTTCCAACAAGGTTTGGAAGTATATTAAGAAATGTTCTAATCTGGTGAAAAGTTCAGAAGCATCATTGCCAATCAGATAGGAAAAATGTACTCCACGAAAAGAAAGGTTGGGGTGCTACATGGTGAAATTAGGATCATTCTCCAGTTCTTCAATCACAAGAGGTCTTTGTAAATGTGGAAATATACGTACCATTGAGAATTTCACATATATTAGAGGAGATTCTAGCAATTGTTTGTTCTCTGAACATGCATGGGAGGTAAGTGAGGAGCCGGATATGTTGGGTAGGGATGGATGACCACAACAAGAATGTACTCGAGTCATCTAATACTTCCAACTTAAATATTTTGTGGTTTTCTCCTGAAGAATAAAGCTTGTTATTAAGAAAACAACTGAATATGAAAACTGCTTTCCTGCACTCCAACAGTGTCTGAGGCACTGAAACAGCATATGCTGTTTGTGTTTCACATACAACATTTGGATCACATGATTTCTGAGAATCCCTCTATTATTCAACATATTTTCGACAAATGAATGACAAACTCACTGCTTAATTGTCATACTACGGCTTCCTTTTCTTTGCAGACCAACACGTAGCTCCAAGCCAATGAAAACAAAGAAGAGGTTTCTATACTCTAAGGAGTGATATGTGATGCTTACTATAATATGCATACATCATCATCATCATCATCATCAGAGCCTTTTCCCAGCTAATTGGGGTCGGCTACATAATATGCATACACGAGGAATAAAACAGATAGAACAAAATTTTATTTCTCTTAAAAAGTAAAAAAGACTTGGGCCCTGTTTGGTAATTGAGAAAATAGGAGAAAAAGAGATGTTTCTCAGTTACCACATTTCCCCTGTTTGGGAATATGGGAAAAGCATGGAAATACGGCATTTCTCTGTGTTTCCATGCTTTTCCCCAATTTTGGGGAAAACTGCAGTGCACCCCCAAGGGGTACATCGCTGATTTCTCAGGAAAAGAGGAGTAACGAGAGACCCCCTCGTCCCCCTTTTATTCTCTAACCTCACACTCTCTCCCCTCTCCATTTGTAGCCCTGACAAATCTTCTCTCTTTAGCCCAAGCAGTCTCTCTCCCATTTTTACAGATTTTTCCAGTTTTCACAGAGAGGTTGCCAAACAAGGGTTGTCAGCTTTCAGCCACAAAGTTTCTACTTCTACCTTTTCCTCAGTCTTCGAGTTTCTCAGAGATTCTCCAGGAAAAAGCTTTCTTAGTTACCAAACCGGGCCTTACAATACTCTAGATTATACACAATATAGCCTGGAGCCAAGTTTACATGAACATTCTCCCAAAAAAATAAAAAAAATGAAAAGTTTTGTGCAGCACAACCTGTCCAACGACCCACTATTCTGGCCTTTCTAATAACTTATGCAAAATGGTGACACTTCCTAAAATAAATTCACAAATAAAAGAAGATTTCGAGCATAGATTTAAGTTACATTCAGTATCGCATCAACAAATAAAAAGACAATCAATACACGTTTAATTCATACAGAAAAACTTATGATCTTGTTTAACAGACAATAAGGATATGAGATAATAGATACTGGATAGGAAATGGCCATAAATGATTTATCTTAGTGAATTCAAGCATTAGGGGAAAGCATGAATTTCAATTCATGAGTCACATAAAAAAAAAAAGAATAAATCAACAGACCAAAAAGCCTATTACCTATAGAATAGTTGAACTTTAATATGCCCAAATAAGTGCATGCTTCAGCCCAACTAATTAATGTAAGTTCGGGAGTGCACTTGCCTGCTTACCAAATAATGATGCAATGAGTGAAACAATGCGCTCTTCTAGCTCTTCTTGATAGCTTTCTTTATTTTTCTTTTTGTTGACAGGAATCTGAATAAGTCAATATATGTAAGTCATGAGTTAAATGATAAAAGCAACCAGTCATGAGTTAATAGATAAAAGGTACCAGCAAAAACGTAGGTGACTAGGTGGACAAGGGACTTGAATCGAAAATGTTGATGATGAGAATCCATATGACACATAACTTCACTTTTAATAATGCTCGGGAGAAAGGAGAAATGCATGAGCAGCAAAGACCCAAACCGAAAACATTCTATATTCCTATAAAACACCTATATTTCAGAGTCAAGGTTTGCTTATATAAAATTATTAAAATATGCATCCTTTCATATACCAATGTCATTTTTATCACCTATCAAACATAAAACAAAGGCAAAAGAGCCCAGTGTCCTCAGCAAAGAGACTAAATTTGATATATACAAAAGCATCTGACAACAACCAAGGTGTATCAAGGGCTCATGACAAAAGCTTACAAAGAGCATAGACGTTGAAAACATCTTTAGTAGAAATCCTCAGTAGAAGAGCAAAAAATCTAGAAACTAAGACTCAACATGAGAATGCTAAATGATAGGATATCAACAAAGTCGCTGCTGTGGATTGGGTCGGCAACCAACCAACAAAATGCATGATTCACTAACAGCATAAAAAACTAAAAATAAGGAAACTGAACACTGAACAGAGTGGGTGAGTGGGGGAGAGATATAGAGAGAGACTACAGGTGCAATGAACAAAACAGAAACAAATGGGTATAAAGAGAGAAACTTGCCTTACCCATGAAAGTAGCAAAAGCAGTCTTCAACCCCAAAACATCCACAAACCGCTCACAAGCCGGAGGATACTTTGTCATTGCAAAATCAAGCACCCTTATTGCCGACCCATAAGCCAATTTCTTCTGCTTCATAATAATAATCATCAATTCCACCCCCTCTGCTTTCAAAAACCTCTCCTTGTTCTCTAATGGCATCACCAAACTGCACAAACAATCAAACAAATTCTCTACCATTTCCTCTTCATCCCCACTCTTTGGGTCCCTCGATTTATAGAGAGCAACAGCCTGAAGAACAATGTCCACCCCATTCATTTGCCCTAGTCTCCTCTGGTTTGCCCCACTATTCTGCAACAAAATTGCCAATATCTCTGATGCATATTGTTTATTGCTATCGAATTCTCGAGCTTTAATCTTATTCAAAAGCCATCTCATAAGCTTGGTTCTCTCACAAACCAGCTCTGCAACTGATGGTTTAACCTCAACCATGTTCTCGATGGTCGCCAATGTATTATATATGGCCGTCATTTCATCAGGATCAGTTTCTGAGAGACGCCCTAGATTCTGAACCAGTAATTCTAGAGCATTGTTTTCAACAAGAGAATCAACAAGAATTTGAGCTGATTCATCGCTGTCTTCTAAAACATCTTCATCAGTTAAGTCTTGAAGAAGCCCTACCACATCGACTGCTATATCTGTGTTCTCATGGCCTAAAAGCCCTAGAATGGAAGGAACGGTATTGAGTTGAACCAGATCAGGGTAAAGCTCTGGTGCACCAGCTAGAATTTTGAGCTTTTCGATTTCTTCATGAAGTTCCACCTCTGAGTCTGCAAATTTGTCAGGCTGGTCTGGATATTTCATTCTAGCTTCCAGGTTAGCATGGAGCCTGCGCTCAAATGAGAGGATCAATTTCCTTAGGGCCCTTTGGTCAAGAACTTCAACAGAGCTCTGTGATTTCTCGACAGCTTCAAGGAGAGATAAATCAAAGCCATTCTGGTCCGGCTGTGGTTCGAATTCATCTCTTTTGCGTTTGAAGTCATGGTTTTGGGAGATTTTCTGCGCCATGAAAGGCGGCCACTAGAAGAGCAAAGTCTCTGTAAAAACACTAACCCTAAACCTGAAAAGCAAGAGCTTTCTTGCTCGAAACACAAAGGGAAATGCTCAAAAACCCTAACTTTAATTACAAAAGGGAAAGGTTTTATGGCTTGAAACCAGAAGGAAATCCAGTGAAAACCCTATCCCTAATCACTTTAGTATAGCATTACTGTATCATCGTGCTGATGGGAAAATAGAGGGGAATGTATAACAAAACCGAAAGTTTATATAGAGCCGAGGCTCTAAACCATCAAATTGGTGCGTACCTCAAAAATTTGACTAGGAGATGTTGTTTTGAGCTCAAGTATCCTCAAATTGATCATTTCGACATCAAGATACATGAAAATAAAAAAAAAATAGATTTTAAGTTTTGAAAATAATGTATTTTGTAATACATTTTTGTACCGTCAATAATCAATATTTTTCAGTTTTTATAGATATGTCGATCTACATTATTTTTGAAGCTTTAAACTTTAAAAATAAAAATAAAAATATATTTTAAAGTAATTACAAAGATTTCCAATATTAAAACTACCTTTCTCGATACCATTTGAAGGTAAACTCTAATTTGATTGTTTAGAGCTTAAGCTCTATACAAACCCACCCCAAACAAAAAGCAGTGTATTATATTAGCACAGTAAGGTCACAATTGTTATTAGCCGTTAGATGAAAAATCTTTCAATGACTTATGACTTGATTTGACTTATGACCTGATCTCAAGACAAACAAATTTTATCCCTTTAAAATATGCCTTTTGCCTCCAATTTCATATCCAACACAAAAATAAACATAGCCAAGTTATATAAAACATGATTTTCATTTTACCATCGGTTTTCATTAGGTGCCCACCGTACATCACAAATAAGGAGCACATTTGAATTTTGCCAGAAGATATAGCTCGGGAAAGCTTATGATGGCTTGAATATCTATGTTCAATTTTATTTATAAAATTTAAAATTTTAAAAACTGTTGAACCGAATATATATAAAAACACTTAAAAATCTTAAAAATTGATAACTTGTTACAAGATGCACAATTTTTAAAACTTGTTATAAGATGTAGAGACTTACATTAATACTTGAAAAGTCTTAAGTACATTTCCTTTTTAAAATATGTAGAGAGCTTTAAGATATTATCAACAGTTTAAACAAAATAAACTTATAGTTACAATCAAAATAAGAAAATTAAAAATTTCTATACATCCAACCAATGGTTTAAAAAACGGATCGGTGACCCGGATCGGGCTTCCAAAAAACCGATCCGGATCGGCGAATCGACGATCCGAATCGGGAATCGGGTGAATCGGTCATAATAAAGCTTAAAAAAAATTCGAAAAAATTATTAAAATTCATTATAAATATTGTTTTTTAGGAATTCAATAAAAAATGAGGGTACTCCATTAAGAATTTTCATGTTTTTGAATGAATATGCGAATATTGATATGTTCTTTCCCTGCATGAACCGCCATTCAGCATTTAATTTACAGTATTTCGTGCTCATCCCTACACTGTTGCTGTTGGGACTCGATATGTAAATAATATGGCTGGGATAGGTGGCCTCGGAATCATCATCTCTCTCATTTTCTCTTTGAATAAAATGGATTAAAAAAAAAAAAACAAATTTTCAAAAAAATCGATCATGGATTAAAAAAAAAATCACAAATTTTCAAAAAATTCTATCATGGATTACAAAAAAAAATTCGATCATGGATTAAAAAAAAAAATCATAAAATTT